TGATAGAGTAGAGTCTAGAACCCTAATTTGTTCATCATTTAGTTTTGGCAGAGGTAGATAAGATTTTAACAACTCTGAGCTATTAGTTAAGTTCTCCCCAAACGAGCTTGATGGGCCGAATGGCCTCCTCTCGTTTGTAAATTTCTTATGTTCTTATGTTCTTACATTATCTATATTCGATTCAGGATCATGAGAGATCTGGAGCGTATGGGCACAAGCCAAGGAACAACCCAGGATGGGGTGACAACCTGTTGCAGGGCACACTCACACCTGCACACCTACAGTCAACTTTGGTAACTAGAATTAACCTCAACATGTTTTTGGACTGTGGGGGGAGAACTGGGGTACCTGGAGGAATCCCCATGATGACACAGGGAAAACATTCAAGCTCCACCCGTACAACCCTTGTGGAGATTTGAATCAATCCAATTGTTACTAGTCAAAATTTAATTTTGGATATTCAAAATTACATTATGGATATCTAAAATGTTGGTATCCTTTCGGATATCTGAAATTAAAATTATGACTAGTGACAATTGGATTGTACATATCTGAAATGGGAGCTTTTCCTAGTAAGAATTCAATTGCAGATATCCAGAATGAACATTCTGGATGTCTGAAATATAATTGTGGATATCTGAAATATAAAGCCCAATAGACATGAATGGCAAAAGTGACGTAATTTCTCCTAGAAAGAATGACGATGTGGATATCTGAAATGCTCTTTTTGACTAGTAAGAATACAATTTTAACTAGGAGAAAAGCTATTGTGAATTTCTAAAATGTAATTACGGATAGGAGTGTGACTTGATTAAATGTTAAAACAGCTTGCCATAGTCTACAGCTGAATAACTCTCTATGGCAGAGAGAAGTGAAAAATGTCTACATATAAAATAATAAGCAACATCCAGCCTTTATAAGTGGCCAAGCCAACTACAGTCTTTACAGCGCCTATAAAAACTTTTCACCCCCACACCCCTCGGCCTTTTTTATGCTTTATTGCTTTACAACATTAAATCATAACAGATTTCACAGATTTTTTCACAGATTTTGACACTGATCAACAGAAAAAGTTCTTTAATGTCAAAGTGAAGACAATTCTCTACTAAACCTTCGAAATTAATTGGAAATAACAGGAAACAATTGTTTGCATAAGCATTCACTCCCTTTATCATGATACATAAATCACAGGTGCAGTGAACTGGTTTCAGAAGTTGTCATAGGTCTCTTGGAAGCCTTGATCACTAGCGCACTCCTTGTACTGTCATTCAGTTTTTGAGGATGGCTTACTCTATAGGCAGATTCAGAGTTGGGCTATATTCTTTTTATTTTTTAATGATTGACTTAGTACACTGAGCCATGCTCAGTTTCTTAGAAATGCTTATGTACTTTTCAACAACCTTGTTATAATGCTGTTTGGCATACTCTTTTGTCCTCATGGTGTATTTGATTCCAGGCTCACAACCAGTTGTACCTTCTCGATAAAGGCGTATTTATAGCACAGTCTTTTGAAAAACACTATGACCTCACACAGGTGATCTCAATTTAATTAATTATGTAACTTTTAAAAACAAATGGTTGCATCAGTGATGAATTGGACGTGTCATAAAGGGCATGGATACTTATGCGTTTCATATTTGCAATTAATTTTGACTACTTTGTAGAGATTTGTTTTGGCTTTGATATTATCTGTCACTTCTGATCAGTATTTAAAAGTCCTAGGCCTAATTGAAACCATTGTGATTCAATGGTGTAAATCACTGAATGGAAAAAAAACGTAATTCAAATTCAAGGGTGTAAATGGTTCATTCTCACAAACTCATTACTGTAACTTAGCAACTTTTTTATAGGCAGTGTACTTTATTGCTCCCAGTAATTCTTGTACCACAGCAAACACAAACAGATAACTGCAGACTAACTCTGATAGCCACACTGGCTGATGTAGCAGGACTAACAGAAAAAAAAAATATATATATATATATTATTATATAACATTATATAAGAGTTATGGATCCACAGCAAATTCTTAACTGGAACCACCAGTTCTCAGCTCCACTATAATCCTCAGGTCACTTCCAAAATATTAATCCACTAGCTTCGTTTGACAAGGTAGCCCCAGGTGCAGGAAGTGCTATTCATCAGCGTTTAAGCCATTCCAGTGCAGTCAGCATTGAGATCTATCAAGGCAATCTTCCCACAGTAATTAAGTGCCATTGATCAGCACGCATCTGCTAAACTGTTTACACCACACCTCAGCATGAGAGGAGATGCCCAGCTTGCAAAGTGAGTGCTAAGAAGAGTCCAGAGCATTCATTCCGTCCTGAATGTCCTCGAGACATCCCGGGAAGATGAGAGCCATTGTCTAAACATTATAAGAATGTCCCTTGTTAAGTGGGAGGGGCAGATGGTATAGAGAATAACAGCCTGAGCCTCGTACTGGTCCTGCTGCCATGCTTTCCCGCGGTTTGGCTTTGTTAAATATCCACCTGCACAGGCAGAAAAAAATGGCAAGACTTTAAAAGAAAGAATTTTCCAAATGTGAGAAAATCTGTCATGTACCTTATGCAGGACAGAGTTTTTTCTTATGTACCGGTGTCATGTTTTATTACCCATGTTTGTATACATGTGTTTACCTGTTTTGATTTAATAGGTTTGACTTAGCTGGAGTTTTCTGTACCATAGCACAGTGTGAATCTCTCAAGGCCTTCTTGTAGATTTTTTTAAGGTTTGCTTTTGGTTTAATGGCAAAAAGCTTTGCCCTGTTTGGATGTGCGATGCCACCAACTGGCCATGTCACTTCACTACAGGCTATATAACCCTTGTGGCAGTTTGCCAGGCAGACTAATTTGCACAGTTACACGGTGTGTGACCTGAGCCTGTAGCACTTGCTTTTGTGATTTGCTCCACATTGTGTGTGTGTGTGTCTGTGTGTGTGTGTGCGTGTGTGTGTGTGTCACTGAGAAACTGCTGATCCTGCAAATCTTAGCTCGGCTGTTAGCAATGAAATATGTTTCTGGATGAATGCTTTTTAATTTCCCATCTGCTGGAAGGTGTCATGGGGAGGGGGCCACTGTCAAAGTGCACGGTTATTTACTGCCCCCCCCAACCACCACCACCATGTGCATTAACTAGAGCCTGCCTGTGTGCAGCTATCACCGTGTGACTCTGAAGTACTGACACCATGAGTATGAGAACATACTGGCATCCTAAGTGTATAAACACACTGACACCATGAGTATGAGAACATACTGGCATCATGAGTATATAAACACACTGACACCATGAGTATGAGATGACACTGACACCAACAGAGTAACACACACTGAGGAGTGGGGAGGTGGCTCAGTGGGTAGCACTGTTACCTCACACCTCTTGGACTGCGGTGTGCATGTGGAGTTTGCACGCTGTCTCCTGTCAGTATCCTCCCAGGGACCTGCAGCTTGGCTAATTGGTGTCTCTAATTTGCCTGTAGTGTATGACTTGGTGTGTCTGCCCTGCGACTGGCATCTAGGGCGCATCCCACCCTCTTGCCCTAGGCGGCCTATACAGGATAACCAGTTAAAAGATGAATAGAAGGATGTAAGAATGACCTATAAAATAAGTCCCTTTAACATATAACATAACACACTAACAAGTGTGCTCTTGTAAGACGGAACCCCCAGATTTAAGCTGCATACTACAAAGTGACAGTGAGTCTGTGGAGCACAGCGCCTGACTGATGCTGTCGTGTGAAGGACAGAGACTAATACGGCCATTGATCGCCATCTGAGTTGTCCTCTCCCATCCCTGCCAGTAAGCGTGCCTTTCCCGCTCTCTCCGCTGCCAATTTATCAGTGAGAGCCCATTCAGCAGAGAGTCAGCACTCCTGCGCTATTGTCATTTTTCTGTGTCATACACACACTGAGGCACTAAGGTGGAGGGGGGAAGCGAATGATGAAGCGACATTCTCAGAAACAATGAAGCGTTTTATTTTGTTATGCTGATATTTAGGATGCCGATGAATGCTGAGGATGTTTCCCACAGGTTTGCGAAGGGCTGAGCGGCTTCTATCTGGGTACAGCACAGGTTCTCCGGTGGGGTGGGGGAGGGGGACTGCTGCCAGCTCAGGCTAGCAAAATGGCAGAGAGCTTGGAAAACTCCCTCCCCCCAAAAGCTGAGTGCCACAGGATGCAATGGTCCACCGGCCTGCCAGACAGAACCAAGCTATCAGCAATTAAACTGAGCACAGATGTCTAAGTGCAGAATGTAAAGGGCATGTGGTGACCCCCGCCCCCCACATACACACACACGAACACACACACACGCACCCTATTGAGGAAACTACAGCTTCTCAGACCTCACAGCTCAGACGAAGTCTTTGGACACAGCCTCCACGAAGTTGGGTGCAGACATAAGGATGGAGATGGTGCAGATGATGTTGAAGACGCTGAAGGCCACCAGGCAGAGGCGGTCGATCACCGCTGCTGCAAATTTCCACTGCTCCGCCATGCTCTCGCTCTCGTCCTGCTCGCGGAAGTGGTCGGCCATGAAGCGCACTTCCTCGAGGATGGCCTGCAGCTGAGGGTCTCCCAGGGCCATTTGGGCACCTGGCCCCGTTCCTGACAGAGTTCCGACCCCCAGGCCACCCGTTGTAGTTCCCACGCAACCCACGCTGTCCAGGGTGGGCGTGGCCTGAGCAAGGTGGGGAGGGGGGCTAGACGCCCCCACCCCCGGGACCCCCCTCTGGGGCAGGCTGCTGCCTCTCTGTGCTGGATCAGTGACAAGGGGTGGGTCATCCAGGTTCTGGAAGCCGATGTAGAGCAAGTTGCCATTGTTGGCACTGCCCTGTGAGTGCAGCTGAGGGAGCCCGGCGTGAGGCAGGTTCTGCGGGTGCAGCGGGTGCAGGGAGGGCTCCACTGGCTGGGGCAAGCTGCCGCTGTGTGAGCCAGACGAGCAGCGGCGCAGGTGAGGGGCACAGGGAGGGTGCTCACGCTCGTCACTTTCCCCCGGCCGTTTCATCCGCAGAAACCAGGCCACCCACTGCAGCAAGATCAGCTGCACCTGGAGGCAGAGAAGCCAGTTCATGTGAAGTGAAGCAACATATGCTATTGGGGGGTTAAAAGCTTTTTGTGGAAATTTACCTGAAGATAAGCCCTGCAGACTTATACACACAGTCTGTGCTGAGCATCCTCCCACCCCCCAACCGCCCCCCCCCCACCACAAAAGAACAGAGAGATGAGTGGGTAGCTGTACCCATTTGGGCATGTCTCCTCCATTGGGGTCATGGTGGTGATACTGCAGCACCACCACAGTGGCTATCACAGACATGCCAACGATGATCATGATGCTGGCAAAGTACTGCCCTGAAACAGAGTGAGAGAGTGATAACACATGCAGGATGCCAAGCGTCTACACTTCAGCAGGCTCCATATTGTTTGCATTGAGTTTTAGTGCTCAGTAATTCTGCATGACATATTCATTAGAGAACGGCTCGCTGAGAGGAACCATGGATCTCCACCTCCATGTGAGTATGCAAATTCTCTGTCACATTTGTGTATGCATTTCCTTGGGGGATTCCAGTTCCTCCAAGTCTATTGCAGTATGCGTGCCAGAATTACATCCATCCATCCATCTAACCCCTGGAACAGGCTTTATGGCTCACTTTGACCCTGTACTGGATTATGGAAAGACTCCATGGTGACTTATGTAGCTTCACTGGGAGGAGGCATATAAGATTATACCTTTTCAAGTGCTCATAGAAGATATGGAGCTGCAGGCATTCTGCTGATGTTCAAATAGAAAGCCAGTCTGTGTTACCAAACACTTCAGGATGTAATGTGAAAATGTGGCCTATATGGGCTTGTGTGTCCTAAGTAAGCTTCCTGGGACTGACCTATCAAGGGTATGGAGTCTGACGTGGCCGGCATGATCTCAGCTACCAGCAACATGAAAACGGTCAGAGACAGCAGCACAGTGATACCTGTGGGATGGAGATACAACAGCTATGAATTTTGGGAAGTCTGTAAGAGGACCAGATCAGGAACAAAAACGGGCAGCATGATCCTCGCTTTAAAGCCTTTAATATCCCTGTTCCCTGGCTGAAACTCCCTTTACAACAAACTCCCTGAACCCTTGACATGCCTTCAAGCTCCTCTCGTTTTATAAGGCTTTCTTGGCACTACAAGGTTATTGTGGTAAGGAGCTGCCAAACAAGCAGCAGAGTCACGAATAAAGGATGGCTAACATATTCATACCACAATAAACCTCCCTCCATTCCCGCTCCTTCCTTACCTTCACTCTCCATTACTCTCTGCCCCTTAAATCTTTCTCATCCATTCAAGCATTAAAAAAAAAACATCACTCTCCTTCTCCACCTTCTCCCTTCCTCTCCCTCCACCCTCTCATTCGGAACCCGCCCCATCCCTCCGCCCCTCCCCCTCACGCACCCAGGGAAATTTTCTCCCCAGAGTCTGCGGGGAGCACAAAGATGAGCAGTGTCATGGAGGACAGCAGCACGCAGGGGATCAGCAGGTTGAGGGCATAGTAGAGTGTGCGTCTTCGGATGGTCACTACAAAGGTCACATCAGGGTAGGGCTCTTTGCAGCAGTCGTAGTACAGCTCATTCCTGGTGCCTGGAACTCCTGTGCCAGCCAGAGACAATAAAGGGACATCTTAACTCAGCAGAGTGACGAGAGACGGTCTGCTTACTTGAAACGTTGAAAACGATTGAAAAGATTTTTTCCTTCCAAAATAAGTTGCTACTTATCTAAAACTTCTGATTTGGTCCATTGATTTGATTTGTTTTTTTGTTTTATTTGGTCCATTGATAACTTGAAACATTACTTTATAATATTTATAATATCCACTTTGCTGAGAAAGCAGCTGGACTCCTCTGAAACAGTAACATTGTGTTACAGTGTGTAAATGTGTGTGTCGAGAGTGAGACAGGAAGTTCAGGCCACTCACCCACCAGGTCCCACTCTCCATTCGGCATGTAGCCCGAAATGTCAGCCTCTTTCATCTGCAGATCCAGCAACCAGCCGTCAAAGGACCAGGAGCCAAACTTCATCTCGCACTTCTGGATGTCAAAAGGGAACCAGCGGACGTCCACATTGCATGTACTCATGAAGATTCCTAAATGTACAGAGAGGTTGCCCTGTGATTCCTAAGAGAGACTGTACTGTTGCACTCAGGAGAGAGAGAAACCACATCACTGTCCATGTAACAGGCAGTATTCTACTCCGAGTAAAATGAACAATTAAAAATCCCACTTAACAGTCCAGGTCACCCTGTCACATTCACAGCGAATATGAAAATTTGTAAATAAAACTCGGGCCAAATATTAAACATGCAAAATGAACAGCCCTGAAAAGTATAAAAGTTACTGCGAGAAACGCTAGATTCCACGGTCACAGAGACATTAACATGTGAGTGTGGCTGGTTGCCGAAACAGGTCTTTAATTATTATTATTACTATTATTATTAATTTACCAAAGGTAACTTTTAATATTAAACATATGGTATGCATGTACATTATGGTTTTATGTAATCCAAATCGTTTTAGTATTGTTTGTATATTATTGGGTTTTCTCTCATCCAAAAATATTCCCATTTAATTGTTGACGACCAACAGGCAAATAACCGAAACCATGAAATAGCCTGAAACTCTCCAGACTGTATTATCCGATAATTACGGGCTGGCATCCTCTTATGGTTGTACCAGCCACCTTGTGATCTATGCTGCCTGGGATAGCTCTCCCCCGAAAAAGATTTCAGAAATTGGATGGATGCATTTGATAATTATGAAATTATGTCGTTTCAAAACAATGATTTTAGGAAAATGATAATGAATAATGTCTAAGATGTCAGAAACAAAGCCAAATAGCCCAATTAAGTAAACAAGCTCACAGGCCAGGCAGGGCTGCATGGCCAAGCAGAGTGAGCAAATGCAGTCGGAGTTTAGCCGTGCGGCTCGTTTCAGAGCATGTGGCACGAAGCGGTGCTGCATCAGCTCAGGGGCTACAGCACATACAGCTTCCTACTGCAGGGAGCAAGTGACCTACACAGCAGCTGATTCGCCCCAATTACTGAGGAACATTGGCACCAAAACAAGCTAAAACATTAGTCAATAATGATTAAGTCCAGTAAAAAAACATCCAAGGTTCTCAGGAAGAGGCACTGGGACCCTGCTGGGTCCATATTCAGTATTTTATGGTATATACTGCATATCAGGGATGGGGCCACTCCGGAATGCATTCATCAATTCCATTCCAGATCAAGAAATGTATCTAGAGTTGGGATTGCAGAAAAAACTATGGGGAACAGAATTGGAATTGAATTTGAATTTCAGGGAGATTTAAATTCCAACTCCAGTTCCCCTTCCTGATTTGGGCCCGGAATTCCCCCCCCCCCCCGCTGCATATTCATCCAGCCACCTTCAAACACTGGTAAAGAGCATAGGGGAACTGGAGCCCACCCAAGGCAGCACAGGGCACACGGCTGGGGTACAGGCTGCATGGCATAGCCCAGACAGACACAGACTCACATGTAATCACACACTATTGGCAATTTAGTGACCCAGTTTGTATAACTACACATTTTTGTACGATAGGAGGAAAATGGAGTAACCATGTGAGACACCTGAAACACCGGAAGGAAATGCAGCATCATACTCGAGTATATAATGCTGTATTATTTACTGCCCAGTACACACATAAATACAGAAATTATCTGTCTATTGCAGTGTTATTTGGGCATTTCAGACAGAGTCTGAATCTGCAGTTTCTTCTAAACCTTTTCAAAACAAAATCATTTTCAAATGTTTCCCAAAAGCAGAGTGACACAATTGATTTATGAGCTAATCAATCTCATTTGAAGATGATGTGCTTCGATCAGTAGCTGGAGATGAGCCACTGCTGTGTCTGGTGACAAGCTGAGGGATGATGTGCTTTTAGAAATAAGCTACTGAAATTTTGCACTGACAGCTAGATTTAGGTTTACATTTAGGACACGTACTAGAAAATTAGTGAGATATATATATAAAATCACTCGGCTCTGTCCACTATTGTTTTGGTAATGAATTCAGCTACTCTTGCTGTGCTTGCTTTTTCAAAATTCTCTTCTCTTTAAATTAATTACACCAGAGTCTTTTCTGTGGATAAGTCACTTTTCCCTGACTTCTGTTTATTGTTATAAATATTTTCTGAGTTTGCACTACACTATTTTTAATGACTTGCAGACTTTGCCAATAAAGCAATTTACTAAAATCAAGTGCTATATCCTGCTTTTTGTCATAAAACAAATATCATTCTTTTTTAAAAACTATTTGCTTCTTTGATATATTTGTAACTATGTGTTAGACTATGCTAATAAAACCCCCTGTAAACAGAATTTAGCATCTTCTGGATACTCAAACATTATAAGCTATGATTATAATTCTGACTTTGTGCGGATACAACTCTTTTAAATGAGAGAAATGTAATTCACTTCTGTACAGTGACCTTGATTTTGTTTGTTTACTTCTGTTTACTTTTTAAAATATATACATAGCTAAGGATTACTTTCCCGGGGAAGCAATTCATGATTTTTGAAACAATTCTCAAATCAAATTGTTTACATTTTTAGCAAATATGATTTAATCAGCATTGGGGGGTGACAAAGTAGTGTAATAGATTACAATTTCAGTTTTTGTATTCACATACAGTTACTACCTTAATTAGAATTATGTTAGTTGTGTTACACGTCATGTAACAAGCAGGTTTATTTTCATCATTGGTGGGGACCAAATCAGCCCCAAACCCCCAGCCCACAGTACTCCCATCATATTGGTAGGGACATGTCCCTATGATCCATTTATAATTTATTTGTTTCACTGTTAAATTGTCCCAAGAATGTCAAGTTTCTGAAATATTCAAAACTTAAATTAAAATGAAAGATTCTGTCTTTTTCATTATGGGTGTGTTTTTTTCTTTTCAAATGGTGTTCGGTCAATATTATGTCAACATTTTCTATTTTGTGGATTCATTGGGGTTTTTGAGTAAAAAAAAAAAATGAAGTAATTTTTAATGTAATTTTAATTTTCCCTTTAAGTAATCAGTAATCTGATTGCAATTTGTGACAATAATTAATAATTCATAATCTGTAATGGATTACTTTTTGAGCAATTTCCCCAACGCTGTATTTAATAAATTTTCAATGACTGATTTTTCGGGGCATAGCTTGTATTTAAGGCTCAGTTGTTTATGGACAGGTTGACTACGGGACGAGTCTTGAGAATGAGGGCAGTAAAAGAATCACAAGCTGCTCGGTGAGGGAGGAGGGTCAGCGTATCAGGACACTCACCTGGGGGCAGGTACTGGCAAAAGCCGCTGGAGTTGACCAACACATTTGTCTTAAAAGTGGAATCAAAATCGTCATCAGCACTGTACAAATGGAGAACATTATATCATATGAGCAACAGGGGCAAGACCACGTGCCAGTTGGCCAGCAAAAAAAATAATTTCTTTCATTTTTGGGCTCTGTCCAAGCACTTTGGAAATGTTTGATGTTATAAATAAGATACAAAGCAAAGGGCTCACATGCTACAGTAAATATACAAAGCGTGCATTAGCCAATTGAGTGCAAACATGTGCTTTTATTTGTCGAGTGGAAAGCAGGGAGTAATGAAATATGTCTTTGTGTTTCTGTACCTGTTGTACAGAAGGATGTCGGGTGTCCAGATCTGGTCTGTGGTGAATCTGAGGTTTTTTACACCTGGGTACTCAGACTGATTCCACTGCAGGTAGTGGTCATACCAGTGCTGGGAAAAACAGGAATGACATTATTTGATGTTGCCGAATATCTAATGCCTGTGCCAATAATTCACTCTCCTTGGGAAACTTAATGCACAAGGTCCCTGAGACATAACATCCACAAAGAATGGAGGCAGCGTGCACAGCTCTCCACACATCATGCATCTCACTGCACACTCAGCAGAGGCTACAACGTCACGTTTCTCACCATGCTTACTCAGTAATGTTAAACACCAAGCTATTTCCCAAGCAGATGGAGGATGACATGACCACTCCTCTGCGCTTTAACCCCATCCCACACCCCCCATTCTTCTCCCCCACACAACTGTCCTGAATAAAGCTGTATCTGGATTCTGTTTACCATTTGCAGCCAAACGTTGGTAGTGAGAACTTGATTTTTCTCATCCTGTAAGATATAAAAAGGACACTTCAACAGGGCTGATTGAGATGCCTGAGGGACAGGTGTATTCAGCAGCATAGCTGCCCTGAAGATGTCCTACGAGAGGATACAGACACACAGATGCACCAGTGTACAAAGAGAGACAGACACAGAGGTGAAAGTGGACAGACAGACTGACACTAATAAGCTGCACAAAAGTGGCAGACATGTAAATAGTGCTTGTAGATGGAAATACAGACCGAGAAGCAGATGTTGGTGAGGAGAGGCAAACGGATGCATGTATGCACTGACATGCAGGCAGACATATAGACAGAAACACAGCCCCATGACACATTCAGGCAGATTTACGTGCAGCTGTCAAGGTGGGCTGGTGGACAGAGGCCCCTACCACATCCATTATCTGCACAAGAATCATGGTCAGGTTGACGGTGAGAGGAAGTGAGTCATTGGCCACTGGCCTCTCCATGCGGTTGTAGTCCTTCAGGAGCTGCTTCAGCAGGTTACGCTGGTAAGGACCCTGCTGGGACACTGAAGGAACAGGAAGCAGCATTACGGAGACACTGTAGTCACATCAGATCCACATCAGAGTTTTGTTCAAAGTCAGAGGTCCAGAGCAATTTCCAGTAACAAAACAGCATTTCATGATCTTTAATATATTAATAATAACTTTCAATATAGACCTCAATGTTTAAGTTTTTAATGCTCACTGATTGTTTCGACTCTTTATCATTCACGGGATTATGACGAGTTATGTGTGTGCGAAGTTTGGTGGTTCTACATTGTATTTTTGTACTTCAAACCATGTTAAGCTTTTCCCGTTAACCATATTGATTCATAAGGTGCATTATAAGCTGGGTCCAGATTAATTTGTGGTTAGGTCTGGACTTTGAGAACCCCTGCAGTATAGATTCTTGCATAAGAAGGCATTTTTCTGTAGCACTGTGGATACTTTTACCTTTTTAGTTCCCTTTAGCCATGTAGATGCCTGTATTAGTGTAGACCCATGAGGCAAAATAGGTCTTTACAACACTGTAGCACACATTAACCACCCTGGCTATTGTACTAAAGCTGTATCAGGCCCTTTGTGACTACTCTTTCCTGTAGCAGTGTCACCTACAGTGACAGTATGTCTTTCTCTCCCTTTCACTCCATGGTTTCCGACAATTGATCATGCCTTGTAACAGTAAGAATATTTGCAGCAGTAACACACTGTTTCCTGTGGGAGTAACACTCTGTAATAGTACGGTTTTCTATTGCAGTAACACCCCATAACAGTATGATTTTCTTTTAGCAGTATCACTCTTGTTGGAGTATGGTTTACTGCAAAAGCATCACCAAATGTTGCAAAATATTTGCATCAATGCAAGTGTATTCTTATCTTGAGCTGATGGCAGGGAGTGACTGCTAAGGGCAGCCATTGTGCATCAGGGGGTGACATGTGCCTCATTCAGCTACTCTCAGAGATCTGGGAAAGCCTGTGGTTTATTTAGTTTGTTTAAATATCGGATTTTAGCCTAAGAAACAGATGAGACACATTTCCCTCTCACACTTCAGCTGCAGTAGAAGTAGAAAGTGCTACAAATATCACAAAGAATGTAACATTTCTTTCACTCAAATCATACTCCAAATCTCGAACACAGAACTGAAAAAACAAACACACATACAAAAGCTTCATTGCATACAACAGAAATGGAAATCGAAAAACAAAAACAATGAGAGGTAATGAAAGAGACAGACCTACCTGGGACCAGAGCTGAGAAACTAAAGAGGAGAAGACCAGCAGAGTGCCACATGGTCCTGGAAGTGAAAGCAGAAGGAGAAGACTGTGAAATGGGCTGTCCTGGAGTTAGCCGGCACATACAGAGAGGCAGAGGAAGGCACAGCTGGTAGCTCTGGGGAATTGCAATAAAAGGAGGGGAATGTCAGCTGATTAACTCTGGACCCACAAGTCAGCTCCCTTCCTCCCTCCCTTCAATCCCTCTGTCTGTTTCATTCTAGCCCTCTCTCTTCCCCCACCTATAAACTGTCCTGCTCTGCCTTTCAGTGAGTGCCCAGTGGGTGGAGCCAGTGAGGAGAGAGAGCGAGAGGGGGAGGAGGTACAGGAACGGGCAGCCAGGTTGGGAGCTGAACGAAGAGGAAGCCGTGATAATATCTGCCCGCTTTGTCCTTTGCAGCCCATCGTCATATCTCTCATCCTCAGTGCATTCCTCTGAAACAACCAGACCATGTGCATTACCATGGCAAGGGTGGAGCCTGATAGGGTGGTTAAACAGTATCCTCGTGCTTCGGGGTCTGGAGCACTTCCACTAATGCTACCCATATGCAGTGATTGTCTTTACTCTAGTGATCCCTGCCAGTGTCCCCTAGTCCCAAGCTCTGCTTGCTCTTGATCTGCAGGGCATTAACATGCAAGGATTGTGCAGGCTTTTGGCTTCTCTGTCTGTAGGGGAACACAGGGTGGGCTGCTCTGTGTATATGCTCAAGCGTGAAAGCAAACAGCAAGCCTCTGCGTCTAAGTGATGGGGGAGACCCTGCCAGAGGCAGAGATCAGCTCAGAAACTGCTGATGGAGGAGAAAGCCACAGGGATAATAGATCACAGTCATTACTGCCCTGCTCCCCAAGCCTTGAAGGATCACATATACCTGTGTGCTTCACTATCATCATATACTGCTGGTCACAGCTGCTCTTCAGCCTGCTGAAGTTTCCAAAAAAATATGTACGTTTCCCAAGCATCCAGCTTCCACTCTCTTACCCTGGATAAGGCCACGAACGAATCTATGGATGCCAGTCCATTGCATGGCACACACAAACACACACTCACACACAACCATACCATATGGGCAGCTTAAAGATACAGATATATTTTGTAAAAAAAACCAAAATGAAAGTATTTTCAGTTGGGGCAGCTTGGTGGCTCAGGGTAGCCTCATACCACCAGGCATGGTGGCTTGAATTTTGCCTCCATCTGTCTATGTAGAGTTCCCATATTTTGAAGGCTTCTTCTCTGTAAGCCAAATTCTTCCTGCAGCCAAAAATATGCAGTTATTTATACTCATTATTACTATTTAAGCACCATTGGAGACTTCATTTAACAATGTATGCACACATGTATGCTGTAAAAAGTGCACGACTGTAATATACTGTTGTTAGGAATCTGCTGGACTAACAGGAGGTGGGTGGCACCACATACAGTATGAACAAAACGGGCTGACATGGGCTTCTTCAGCATCCCACTGCTGGGACCTTGACATTCAGGAGGATCCTGGAGGCAAGCAGCTTGGGATGTGCAAGCAGCGTGGCAGTATGTTCAGCTCCACTGCCTATCTGACCCATAACATAGAACTTCAACAAAGACTCAGTTAATCAATAATGAGTGTATTAATGTCTCGTAAAATGGGCCATATACTGTTTAATCATTGTGTTTAACTTTGCAATCATTTGTTATTAATAATTAACATGTACTATGGTCATAAAGGCACATTTAACCATTATATGAAAATTACTGTGACTAAAATAAGGTCCCCAGCAGCCTGACCCATGGCAAGTGTTTCTAGCAATCAGAAATGAATCAGTTTGTGACAAGTAGATCAATGAAGTTGTTTTACTGGGGTAACAGATGCTAAGATGACAAAGGGTCACCCTATTAGCCAAAGTACTTAGGGCTTGGGGGAGCAGAGAACTGAGCAGAATGGCAAGAGGTCCTATCTCTTTTATTAAGTTTGTGGGGGTGTCAGAATTGTAGCTGCAGGACAGATACTAGCTATTGTTCAATAGATCTTTGATAGAAGCAGTGCATGGTGATTCTATAATTTTTTTAATTCCCTCATTATTTTTAAATTTTGCATGGCAAACCCAACCTCACAAATGACAAAACATAACATTGTGCACAAATTCGACTAAATGTTTTGAAAGCAGATTTTCTTCTAATGTTTATGTAGATAGGAAGGATACGGATTCATCTAATTAAAATGATTAAAAAGCTGCATGAGATTAAAACTCACAATCTTTTGGACTGAGCCCATTACACTAATCAATAATTCCCACTAATCCACAACCCTGAAGTCTATAGGCCTGTTTAATCAATATTCTACAGAGATCCTCAGACTGCAGTTCCAAAGGCCACTGCATTAGCCACTACCTGAAAGAGCTCCTACTCCATGCTAACACATAGCTCAGAGGAATGAATCGTTAAGAAACTCTTATTGCTATGACATGGGTCAAGGCACCCCACTGCACAAAAATGAAACAATGCCTTCCTGACCCGGGACAGAGTCATGTTTCTTCTCCAAGCCCCCAGATTACATGTGAATGCAGTTGTACTGTGTGCAGGGATGTATGGAACCCTAGTGAACGGTGCTCAGCATCACCCTGGAGAACAGCGCAAACAGTGCTCAGTGTCACTCTGGTGAAAGGCATTCAGCGTTGTCCTCGTGAACAGCACGAACGGCGCTCAGTGTTGCCCCGGCAAGCAGTGAGAATGGCACTCAGTGTCACCCCAGCAAACAGCATTAATCTGGTGAACTGTGTGAACAGTGATCAGTGTTGCCCTGGTGATCAGAGTGAATGGCACTCAGCATCTCCCCGGTGAGCAGCGCACATGGCGCTCAGTGTCACCCTGGTGAATAGCATGAATGGGGACTCAGCATCGCTCTGGTGAATAGCGGGAACAGCACTCAGCGTTGCCCTCGCAAATGGCACTCAACGTCACCCTGGCGAACAGCACAAACAGCGATCAGCATCACCTCTGTGAAAGGCACTCAGTGTCACTCCATTCAGCAGGCTCCTGGAGGAAAACAGCACCTAAAACATGTTCTACAGGATCGCTCATCCAACCAATTACACTAAACTTCAACAAAGACTCAGTTAACCAATAAGGAGTATATTATTGTCTTGTAAAACAGACCATATACTGTTTATTCATGGTGTTTAACTTTGCAATAATGTGTTATTAATAGTGCTGTCAAATGATAAAAAATTTTAATCAGATTAATCACAGGGTTCCTGTGGATTATTTTTGATTAATCATGATT